GGGGGGGGGGGGGGGGGGGCGTCGTCGTAGAATTACTAATAGCAAAGTCCTAAATACCCAACTATTGTGCACATGGAACCTCGGGGCGTGCATGGCGCAGCATTCTGAGGTTCCAAAGTGCTGGACGTTCTAGAGTTTAGGGTGGGTTTAGGGTGTAGGNNTGTAGGGTTCAGGGTCTAGGCATTTAGGGTCTAGGAAGGTTATCCTAGTTGCTCATGTATTTTCACGACTGCCTTCGAGATTTCTTCAGTATTTTTGGAGAAGACAGTTTGATGAGATGCGCTCCGCTACACGAAGGACTTTTGCATATTGGGGGGCTGTATATTGAGACTCCTTATTATGGAAAGCGTCATGTAACCTATATACCTTTTAAGCCCCGCTCCTCCAGTTTGCACCTGCCTTGCGGGCGTTTGGCCCAGCCCTTAAATGACAATCCCATTCTTCGGTCTCTTAGCTTTTTTCCTACGCTGGGGTAGGTGTGGGCGCCCTATCAAAATTGAGTATTCATGGCTGTAGTAAGGATTACCTAGGGATTTTGGGTAGCAGTCTTCTAGCTTTCCCCTATGCTAGGGTAGGTGTGGGGCCCCTATAACAGTCAAATCTTTATGGTTGTATTGGGGTTATCTGCGGATTGAGGGTAACAAGAGTTGTAAACATTGGTTCAAACTTTCCCCTGTATGGATTTTGTGCGGGGCTATGCCCCCTAGGCCCTAAACTTCTGCCCTAATCCCTAAACCCCTAAACCCTACACCCTAAACCCTACACCCTAAACCCTAATACCGCAAACCCTGGGAGCCCTGCCTCATCATGGGTGATGTGCGATCTCTTGCTATCAAGCTCGGCATATGCGTAAGATCGCTTCCTTCGTGGATGAGTTGTTGGATTCCCCCTACCCCTACTCCCCCTTACTACCCCCCCCCCCTATACATGTTCCATAGCAATTAACCTTAACTACTGTTGATACTCAACACCCTGCATGACATTAGATAACTAGAAAACCATATTCAGATTTTTTGGTATCCAGCTTCTTAGCTTATTCAATTGTATTGGGTTCATGTTAGGGGTTATATTGAGAATGGAAAAGAAAATGAAAGCTACTACTATATAATAAAGAAAGAGAGAGAGAGAGAGAGAGAGAGCGAGTAAGGGAGGAAGTGTTATGGAGCAGTTCCCGTAAGAGCCATTGTCTAAACTCCTA